AACCATTCTCTGCTATTTAGCCACGTAGGAGTCCACGTTTTCCATGTTCCTCTATGCTTCCTTCTCTTATCCCTGCCCGTTCACAGTCTGGCATAACGTTGGAGGTTATTGACAGTTGACATTCTTCACAAGTTAGCAGGAACCTTATAGGACCTAGAAGAACATCTGGACTCTGATTATTATTAGGACTTGTAACCAAATGTGTGACCTTTCTAAAAAGTGAGTGCTCTAAGAATTCTAAGTGTTACAAGACTGACACTTTGCCCAAAGATGGTGCCTCTCTTCGGTATGTGAGTCTAAACGGAAAAGAGACACTTGCTCACCCAGGATGAGACAGAGAAGATGTCCTGTGAATATCTGCCAGGTGAGCTCGGTGGTGAAGAGAGGTGCAGTGGTGCAGGGCATGGGCTGCCTGCGACATGCTCGAGGGAATGGGGAGTAAGCCGATTCGGTGGGGTCTCGGATGTAGATAATATGCAATGTACTTCAGTTTCATCGGTAATAAAGAGGAGGTGAGGCAAAACTGAGCAGCTCGGGCCCAGGGAAGGGCTGATTTGACATATTCTGTGTACACACACCAGCTTGCTGGCCTTCTGGAGAGCAGTTGTGACCGGGAATGGAAGACAAGCACCCTGCGCCCCGCCTCCTGGGAAACAGTTCCATTTGTCTGGAGGCCATGGGTGCCGATTCGGTGCTCTCAGGTGGGGTCTGGGTGTGGGATGATGATAGATTAACAAGAACTGTGGATCAGGTTGTATGAGAAGAACACTCGGCTGAAATAGGAAGGTTTCTAACGCCACACCCCATGCCCAGTTTGAGTGTCTTAATCAGCACAGAGTGGGTTTGTGCTCCAAGATTCCTTCACATCTAGTAGAGATGAATCTTGTCCTTGAACTCAGTTGCACTATAGAAACCTGCATTGGGGCATGCCCAGGATTCTGAAATGGAAACAAGCCAGGGAACCCTGAAAATGTGCCCCTTTTGGTTTGTGGACACCGGCAGTAGGAAGTCAGGCCAGAAGGTGGCTAGCGATGGCATCGCCTCGTGTCAAATACAGCTTAGTGCCTAGATCTGTTCTAGAATAATGAAGGGTGTGGGCTTGAAGCCTCCTTTCTGCTCTTTGTCTAATTGGAGTGAAGTTTTCTTTCCTTGCTCAGAGCAGGAACTTAATTGCTCCTCTTGGGGCGGTTCTGATCCTGTTTGCTCACATGCTGCATGATCTCCCCACAGGCAGAGAATCGGGTACTGGTAGCAGACATGTGCCAGCCCTTCCCTGTAGACCAGCCACCACCCAGGCCCTGGCTCTTCCTCTTCCTCTGTGTGACACAAGACAAGGCCAGGGCCCCTGAGGTCCCTACTGCCTGAGTCTGATCAGATTATTGACAATAGACCTAAAAAGTGACTAGAGCTACTCCTTTCTGTTAGGACCGTGTTTTAGTCGGGAACTTCGGACAAGGCTGACTTGAAATGATTAAAAGTAAGCTTCCAAGCAAAGCTAGTGTATCTCCGTAATCTTGTGTAGTTTAAATTAGGTTTTATTAGAAAGGGTCTGTGTTCCAGAGATCATAATCTCTCCGAACCATTTGGAGCCACGCTCCCTATAAAATATTAAAGTTATGACTTTCCGTCTGTAAAACTTCACTAACAGTGATGCTTAGACATATCTAATTTCTGATAAACAACGATAAACATCCACATTACCACCCCTATCAGTTCATCTGAATCTCTGTGTTCTAAAGCTTTATCTTTTTTTTTTTTTTTTTTTT